ATAATATAATATAATATAATATAATATAATATAATATAATATAATATAATATAATACAGTATAATATAATACAGTACAATACAATACAATATAATATAATATAATATAATATAATATAATATAATATAATATAATATAATATAATATAATATAATATAATATAATATAATATAATATAGGATGGAACAATTCCATCCTCATTTCCAACCTAAATTTCCCCTCTTTTGGTTCATTTCATATTTTGGCTGCAAATAAAGTGAGAAGATTTTGTTCCAGAAAGAACCAGGGAAGTTCTGTCAATCACAAATTTCACAATTTCCCTCTTCAGCCCAAGCAATCCAGCAATTTCTGCACTTTCTGTACCCAAATCCTCAATAATCTCCATTTCCCAGCCACTTCCCAGCCCTCCAATTTCCAGGAGAGCACTCGAGGATTTGTCTGAGGGTGCCAGGGAAGGAGACAATTAAACCAAACTTTAAATTAATTCTAATTTCAATTAATTAAGCCCCACACCGTGTCTGAGGTCGTTAGTGGGGCTCTGAGCAGCCTGCTCTGTGCAAGGGGGTGAAACAAGATTAAGGTTGATTCCAACCCAAAGCACTCTGGAGTCCTACAATTATGGTTTTTATAAAAAAAATCCTGTTTTTAACGCAGAATCTGGGAAGATTCTGGAAAAACGACAATAAACATCCACAGACAAGGACATGGTTTGAGTTTGGGGGGAGAGGGAAAGCCAAGTGTGTGTCCCCCTCTTTGAACAGACACTCCTGGAAAAAACAAACCCAAACCTTTGGATACCAAATAATAAATATTAAAATATATTATAATTAAATATCATTAAATATAATATAATATAATACAATATAATATAATACAATATAATATAATACAATATAATATAATACAATATAATTAAAATATAACAAATATATAATCATATATTGTTATATGCAATATATAATAAATATATTCTAATATAATATATTAGAATAGAATAGATTAGAATATATTAGGATATATTAGAATATATTAGAGTAGAATATATTCTAATATAATACAATTTCATATAATATAATATAATTTCATATAATTTCATATAATATAATATAATATAATATAATATGATATAATATAATATAATATAATATAATATAATATAATTACATATAACTTCATATAATTTAATATAATATAATTTAATATAATATAATATATCAGTAATGTAATATAATTAAAACATAATATACATGTATTATAATATATTATATAATATTATATATATATATATATATATATATATATATATATATATATAAATAAATATTATATATAATAATATAATACAATAAAAATACAATAAATATTATTTGGAGAGAGCTGAATTTGTGCAGAAGAACTTGTTGTGAATCTTTTTCCCAACCAAACAAAGGAAAATATTTAGGCAAGGAATCTGCATTTGTCATTCCAGCTCTGATTTCGGGTGGGTTTGGTACTAATTAAATGTGTGTGGCTATAAAAATAGCAATTTTGCCTTTCACTTTCTAATAGCAGAGGTAAGAAGGTGAAATTAATTAAAGCAGGTAATTATATTGGCAATCTGTGAGCTGCTTCTGTTGCCAGCTGGGGATGGGAGTGCTGCAAAAATCCATCTGCTGCTTCTCAAGGTTGAACTCCTGCCTGCATCCAGCCTCTGAAAAACCAGGTTTTTGGCTTTTTTTTATATAGAATTTAAAAGTTTCATAGAAAGATAATTAGGAGATAAAAATAAATATACAGATCAGGCTGGGTGTCTCTGCATTCAGCCAAGAGAGATCACCTCACTAACAAAAAAAACCCCAAAATAACCCCCAAAAACACATCCTAACAACTCTCAAATCACCCCCAAAACTTCCCAAATCACCCCCAAAACCCTTAAAACCACCACAAAAATTATTCCCAAAAACCCCCAAAATCAACCCAAAAAATCCTACCAAAGGATTGTCCCTTAAAAACAGAATTTTACTACAAATCCATAAATTCTCACACATATTCAGACATTCTCCTTGAGTTTTTTGATGTTCTATTGTTTAGTTTTTACCTTGCCAAGAGGATTGATCTATTGGGAAGGGGGCAAGGTAAAAACTAAAAAATAGAACATCAACGTCTGAATATGTGTGAGAATTTATAGATTTGTAATAAAATTCTGCTTTTAAGGGAGGTGAATGCAGAGACACCCAGCCTGACCTCTATATTTCACTTTATTTTTTATTCCTAATTGTTTTTTTTTTTTAAATTAAACTTTTAAATTCTATAAAAATTATGTGAAGCTCGTTTTTCACACCCATCCTTGCAGCAGGATATGAACCCTGCAGCTGCTCCCCCAAAATCACTTTATTTCTTGGCTCCCACGCAGCAATTCCAATGGTTTCCAGCTGCATCCAAAAATCCCTTTCCTGACTCATCCAAAGCTCCCAGACTTTGGGGCTTTTTATTACATTTTTAGTAATTTCTTCTAAAAAAAGCAACATGAATTTCAAACCTAGCCAGGCTTTTTTTTTTTTTAATTTTTTTTCTATTTTTTTTTT